GTCATGACAAGTTGCCACAAGCTTCTTTTTAAAAGAAGGCATCAGTTGCCTCTTTTGAAAAGGAAGGCATCATGCCCTCCCTCAGAGAGGTATTTATGTTGTTAACTAAGTCATATTAAATAAATCCTTAGCTAGAATTTGGCTACTGAACAAGGGTCAAGAAGACAAGTAATGCCTAATAGCCTCTCCACATCCAGAAGAAATTACCAGGTAGCCCCTTAACTGATGCTGCATTAATGAGCCACTAAAGATCTATGTTCAGGCTCAGAGAAAACAATAATCAAATGCAAGTCAGCCCTCTTACAATCCAAAACAACTCTGCAAGCCATGAGCTGACAGATGCAGTATGTACAGGACAAGACTATTTCTTTGCTGCATACATATTGTCATTCATTCATTGCCATTCATTCTTCACTCTTCTAAAGAGCTTTCTGCTATGCCTTATCATATTTCAGTCAGGTCTTACCCCACCTGTATCCCATACCTAAGGGAACTAATCTCTTGCTTTTAAAGATACCCCCAGGCACCCCTTTGGCATACTAAGCTACTTCCTCTGGTAAATCATTACTGAGCACGTGTTGAGCTTCACAAAGCTAATTTCATCTATCTTCAAATTCTACACTTGTGGAAAAATAACATTAACAGCAGTAGGCTAGCTAAATAAGCATTAATAATTGAGATTACCTTATCATGGTGATGGTTAGTATGGGATCATCCTTCCTATAAACTTGTACCCTATTGAATGAAGGTTGAAAACATTGCATTGTGGCAATAAGAAGGCACATGCTTCAAAACTAGTTAGTATTCTAGACAGAAAAGTCCTCAAAGGAAGAAGACCTTGTTTTTTCTAGAACTGTATAACCTTCTCTAATGTGTTAATCTCCCAATGTGTTGGAGAATAACTCTCCAGATATGCCAATGGAGAAGACTGTTCTAAAACAACATTGTTGCACTCAGGTCTAATATGTATGTTGCTTTCAAGAAAAAGGCTGGTGAAGAAGGATAGTCAGAATGAGGATCACATGGACAGAAAAAATGGAAATTAACCTTTTTTCTCTGTATCAGGCTCTATTGTCATCTGCAGGGGAGAAAAAAGATTTGCAAAGATATTTTGAAAGTGTAGTTCCACTCCCCACATCTGACATGATTTGAATATTATGACTTGAATTTATATTTTACACATATGGTAAAAAGATAGGATTAATTTGAATATATCACTATTATGTGGCATAAGCATATTTTACTCCCTTTCTTACACGAACAATCTTACAAATTCCATCTTTGAGTAATGGTATAGTGGCAAATAACAGCAGCCAAATCTCTTCTTAAGATCCCAAATTCAAAAATTCTATAGCCTGAGCCTTGACCTCCATCTATCTTGAATCTGCACAGTATATTTTATTATCCAGCTATGTTACGTTCTGGGACCAATTTAGGTATGGGACCAATTTAGTTCTCCCATAGCAATTTGTTCACGTACTGAAAGCATTGTCAGATCATTTCTAGTATCTTTAGTATTTGAGTGATGGAGGGACAGAAATTACTATTTATTGGGCAACTCTCTACTTCTCTATAAATGAAGAATAATAAAGAAATTATCACCGAAAAGAGTCCTAAAAGATTTTTGCTAAAGTGTGATGAATACAGTAATTTTAGAAAAGCACTTTGACTAGGAAAAGTGCTATAGAAATGATTAATAATAAATGGAGATGAGTTTTAAAGTCTATTAGAGGGTCTTTGATCATTTTAGTCAGTGGGATTTTATACAACAGAAGCTCAAAAAGTTACCCATTTTATTGTACTAAGAATATTGGAAGATATTTCATACTAAATTAGGAAAAAATGTGCACTGTGATGTTATTATATATAAAATGCAATAATAATCTACACTCATCTGAGCTTTTCCTTGATGCACAAGTTTTAATTTACACAGTCCTGAAAGCTGTTAATACTACTCAAAATATACTTTCTTAAAGAAGACATTTCCTTCTTATACAGTAGTGAATAAATTAGTACATAGAGTACAGAATACTTTTAGCTCAACCTTTTTAAACTTAAAAAACTGTCTTGATTATAGACAGGTTGTTGAATGTTAAAATATGTGCTTTTTGCACATATTCAGAGGTTGCCCAATTAAGTTTTAGGAAGGAATTCTCACCATTCTCTATTATATGTGGTTTGTGAATCTTGTTTGTAAAATTGCCTTAAAGAATTTGCCCAATGAGCATCTCTCCCTAGCAGCGCCTGCTTGTGGTTTGTTATGTGTTACTATAATCTGCTTTAAAGGTTTAAAAAAGCTACTGCTCTCTAGCTATGTTACTTATCTGAACCTCCTTCTTTCTTTTAGGCAAAGCCCATGGCTTACCCTAAGAAAGGAAAGTGTTGTCAAATATTCTTAATTTTTATTTTTTAACGTCCCATGGTTGTAGTTCTGAAGTCAATCTATGAAACAATTTTTGCTGTATTATAACATCTGGATCACTTGTGTTCTATATGACACACTTACTAGCCTGCAGTCTTCCTATCACTTCTGCTTCAGTATTCCAGTATTTGGCATACTTAATTAATGATGGCATCTTTGTTTGCTTGTTTATTATGGCCAAAGTGGAAATAGTCTCACCCCATAGACCAGATTTCACAGCATACCTTTCTCTCCTTCACATTTCTCCTCCAAGTAGAGGGATCCTTCCCTTCAACAGAATATTTATCATATAAACCTTCATAATTGTGCTGTTAAGTACAATTGTTATAATGATTTGATGCAACAAGTGAAACAGAGAATTAAGTAACTATTTCTTCTTCCCAGTTCTTCCAGTCCTCTTTTGAAGAAAATAAAGTCTGGAATCTCTTTGTAAGCCTTCTTAATTACCTGCCCTCCTTCTTCCTCCTCACTTTCATTCATATCCACTCAAAAACAACTAGGAAACAGAGCTGGCAGCTGAAAACATGTCTACTGTCCCTAAGTCCCACTGTCTGCAAAGTTACTTCTAACCAGAGAGTAATAAAGAGGGAAGACACAAATCTGGAATATAGCAGCAAAATAATGTGTTTTTGTTCTTTCTTTCTGTTTATAAACCACCAAAATCACGTTACTTTACTTTAATAAAAAATATAAAAAATGGAAACAATTGCAAAGACAACCTTATCCAAAAGCAAGCATCAAAATTACATAAAATAAGTAATAACAACAGCAACACACATATGATGGCACCAACCGGCCATGGGGAGCTTCAACTTCCAAGGCCATGCAAAATTATTATTCTTGGTGTCTTTTGGAAAACAGCACCAACAACCTCCAGTTGGAGATTATTCCACAAAGAAAATTACTGCTCTTAGGCCTCTACTAATCTCATCTCATGTGGATCACACAACTTCAAAATTTCTAACCAGGAAAAATGAACTGGACAGGTTGGTTCAAATTGGAGGAGATGGTTTTATAAGTACCTAGAGGCCAGATCAACTCTTCTGTTGATTTGTAATACTGGGAAGAAGGAAACGTATGCTGGACTTTAAAAAAAAAAAAAGAGGAGAAAATATCTTATAAAAAGACAGAGATGAATAGCTTGTCTTATTCTCATGATTTAGAAAAGAACAAAATCTCTAATGTTTCTCAAATTCTTTATTACAGGTCAGTGGCCTAGACTAAAAAAAACTTACTAAATAAAACCTACAGAGTAGAGCTACAAAATAGAAGATATAAAATAAAATAAGGCATACAAGACAAAAAATATACAATCAAGCTTGCACTATTTTATTATCAGCAATATACGAGTTTTACAAGCTACGAAAACAAACTTTGCAATGGCATTAGTTACCTCGGGGTCCTTCTCTGCTAGTAAAAATTGCACATATAATTCTTCAGTCCATCCTGGAAGTGGAGTAAGAAGAGGCATTAAGATCATATGTCTTGACAGAAATTACAATATAACAGAATATGAGTTCACATTTCAGTGTTACCATCTTTACAAGGGCAGAGTTTTATGAAATTTTCCCTCCAGCTCTGCTGATGGTATAATATGGAACCATAATAATATAAATGCTCACCAACCTTTACTGTTTGTAAGTTGGTCTAGATACAATCCTGCATGGAAGTGTGCATTGCTATGGTCCAATTGTACCCTAGGTGAGGGTTTACTATATTCTGACTGTAATTCTATTCAAGGCTCTTTGCTTAAGTACCACCATTGCCTGGTCTTGTCTAATGTTTCTTTGCAACTCAGAGATTTAAAGAGAGAGAGAAAGGAGGAGGAAAAGAAGAAAGGGGTTAGCTTTATATTTAAAAAAAGATGGCTTAGGAAAAGTTTTCCTAAGATTGCTTAAGAGAGTGAGGTCTGCCCACATAACAATTCTGCAGAAAAGCATCCACACCAAGCTGAAATTTCAATCGTGATGACAAAAACCACATCACGATGTTACAACTCAAACTCTGCTTCTCTCCTAAACAAATGCACAGAAATTTCTGACTGCTTCCCATTTCTCTTATTTCTGCAGCACCATATGGAATGGAATTACTGCAAACATGAGATGCTGCAAAATATCAATGAATATTATTCTATTTCTTTAAAGATTTGTATGCCACCCTTCAAAAGCAGGTTTTCCCAAACAATCTCAATGAATTCACTCATTCATTACAGGGTTGCCCAAAGAAACATTTGAAACAAATGCCAACAGGGCAGTGCCTCTAGACAAACTCTTCCTCAAACAACAACACTGAGCACAGTGCAGAAACAGCCAACATTTTTTAATCTTTCCATTTCATGAAAGTTAGAACCCTATTGAAAAGACAAGTTTATTGTTTCAAACACAGATTCACCCTCCAAGTGAAAACCTTAAATAAAATCATATTGAAGCCACTCAGTATAGCTTATGTATGTATGGTGTCCACTCTCCATCACCCTTACAGTATATCTTAAAGAATCCAACAGACCTTATTAATTTCTGTTTTAACTAAATCATATTCATGAACTAAAATATATTTCTGTTCTTTTTTAAAATTCTAGTTATGAAAGAATTTTTTTCAGAACTGGGAATCCAAGGAATAAGCAACAGGTATTTTTTTTTTCCTGACATCCTTTTTTTACCTCCTACTGTTTCTCAGAGAGAAAGAAAAAGTGGAAAGGCTATTTTTTTCTTTTAGCACGAACTGATAGGTAGTATGCATGTGTATACAATTATCAGAAAATCTCTCCAGTATGCTAACACTAAATATTTTGAGTTTATTCTTAACAGGCTTCTTCCTTCTCATGCTTTAGGGTGTAACTCTCTGCACATTCATCTATTAGTAAGTGCCACGGAACTTAGTGCTGGTTACTTCTGAGCAGATATGTGTGGGCTGCTGCTGCTTTTTCTCTACTGTGCTTCAAGCAAGGGTATCCAAGACCTTTCAGGCTGAACTGCTTTACAATTTGAAACATCCTCTTTTCATCTCAAAACAACCCATTACCAGTTCAAATACAGCTGATTCTAGTCCAAAACAGCTGTTTCATACTTGAAATGGGCTGTTTCATAACAAGGGGTTTCAAATTCAAGATGGTCTGAACCCAAATGATTTACCCAACACTACTTCAAACATATTCCTACAACTCTTTAGTAATTTTATAGTTATTTAGCCCATCCTTCAAAACTAATAATAATAATGGCAGCTTACTGTACAGCATATCTAAAAACAAGGGGAAATCCCTGAAAACAACAATAAAATGGTTGGAGAAGTCAAATCTGTGTGTATGAGCATCCCTGACAGCCCAAATCTAGCCTGAGCATGGATCAGTGATGCAGATTTAATAGGAAAGAAAGTTTATTTAAGGCAATACATGGAGAGGGACGGACATAATTTAGCACCTAGCCAACTGCATCCTATTAGGCGAAAAGTCAGCAAGCAAAAGACTCCGTGTGTGTTGGAACAATGGCAGAAGGAAGAACAGGCCACACAGTAAAAGACAAAGAAGGGACACCCGTATGGTCAGTAGGCTGTGAGGTGCTGAAGATCAGTGCCACTGAACTCACACTTTAAAAAAACAAAAATACAGATAGCAAAGTAAAATATCCCAGAACATCTATACAATAATTGTAAAAATAAATCTGAAACATCCAGTAATGTCATACAACATCTATACAATAATTTTTAAAATAAGTCTGGAACATCCAGAAATGTCAAGATAAAATTCACAATCAAACTCTAATTTATAAACTAACCACAGCCTTAACAGAGTACTGTAATTTTGGTAGATGAGTGATGCACTTCACTCATCTGTTTTTTTTTTTTAAGTGATGCACTTAATAAGGATTATTGTTACAGAATTTAATTCCATAGAACTGTGTTCATACAGCAGACATGTCAGGCTGTCATGGCATTAGCAAATTTGGCACCTCATGTGATGGGAGTTATAGAAGTAGCAATCAAATATATGAAACAAAGTTAATGGCCGGGGTTACCTAAACTTAGTTCATAAGTGGAGTAGCCCACAGGGAGCAGCCTTAACAAGATGCATAGAATAAAGGTCTCACCCATGTGAAACCGTGAAATAACCAATTCATGCCTCTTGAGAATTGAAGCAAATTCCATCTGCGATATGCTTGGAAAGTGTCTGGAAGTTACAACCAATGCAATATGCAACAGCTGCTGCTAATGGGTATAAATATAGGTTTCACATAATGCCTATCCTGAAAGATCTGCACTGGTTGAAAATTGGTCATAGAGCACAATTTTATTATTAACCGATAAAGCTTTTGTGAATGTAGCTTCCTTGCCAGCTATAAGGCTAAGAAAAAAAAATGGATATTTCCTCTCCAGACTGCAGAAATTCACAATACATATTACTATTTATTTATTTATTTATTTATTTAAACTATGAGAAAGAGATGTTCTTCATCACCTACACAAAAGGCATATACCCCTAGCTTCTCCCTCTGCTGGAGACAGATAAAGTCTGATCCTTTTCAGACTAGGGGCAAAACTCAAGAAGAGAAGCTGAGGAGTGAGGTTAGGAAAGACTGGGTTTTACCATCCCTTAATGAAAGAAAGTACCAGTGAAGTGGGGTAGTTAAGGTGTTGGAATAGGAGTAAGGAGACCAGGTTCTAGTCTACCCTTTGGCACAGAAGTCAGCTTGGTGACTTTGGACTAGTCCTTCTCTCAACCCAAGACTATAAAGTTGAAAAATATCTACCTGCCAAGCCAGCATGTGCATGTGTGTCTGTGTATGTACATGTATGTGTGTATGTGTATATCTATCTATCTATCTATCTATCTATCTATCTATCTATCTATTCTGAAAATATGGATTACTCCTCAGTTCTTCAGCTAGATAGTGGCCTCCAGCCAATCCTGGCTTATTTTGAAAAGCTAATCAGGTCATACCTCTTTAGTACTTAGATGGGAGACTACCAGGAAATTTGCAGACTAGATCGGAGAATCCCCCCTCCCCCCAAAAAAAATTCCTGGAAAAAGACTATGCTTAAGCATTTCCATTTTATTGCCAAGAAAATTACATACACACACCAGTCCCTGAGTAGACTTTACCTGTATACAGACAACGCATGTTCTATAATTTACTATTCTCTCAAGCAGTTACATTTCCAAAATCCAACACTGAGTTATATACAGTATATGGTTAGTAGAATGGGGAACATATAATTCTCTCTTGAACACCTACTATGACTCATGTAAGTTTAACTTCAATCTGCTTTTAATATGCTGTATTTGATATACAGGTTCACACCCACCAAAATTCCTAAGGTGAAATATGAATTGACAGAATATTCTTTGCTGCCTGCATCAGTTTCTCCACCACCTTCAGTTCCAGTAAGTGACTTACTTTGGTTTTGCTATGTCACACATTTTATTAGAACATTGCAGTTACTAGACAGACAATTTTTAAAAAATAAAGAACCAAAACAAGGTTGTTCATCTCTTAGTTAAACTCTTACAGAATGACAGGATATGTTTTATGCTCCAAAGGTATGCCTGGGGTGCATCTGAATACTGAATACCAGCAAAATATACACATCTGTCCAGAATTTCTCCTTTATTGGTTTTCTAAGGTTTTTTTGCCACAAGAAATCTCTCCTTGCCAAGGACATTTTTTTTTCCTTTGCCCAGATACATCCCCAAGCATGTAGGTTCTTGCCTAATACTAGTTTTGGACCATTGATTCATCTAGATCAATATTGTTGACACTGCCTGGTGGGAATTTTTTTAGCACTGATTAGCAAGGCCAAGATTAAAGCTGGGATTTCCTGCCTGGAAACATTTGCTCTACACTGAGCTACAACTCTGACATACAAAACATCACTTCCACTCCAGCAATTCTCCTGTGGTTACTCAGTTCTGGGGTATAGAAAGATAATCTAACTTAGGTGACAAGTTAATGGAACCATGGACATTTATGGTACTTTTGCCACCTCAGAAGGTTTGATTTCTGCCTTTGGGACCAAAATTGGAAAGGTTATATTTGTTTTTTTGTTGTTGCTGTTTGTTTGTTTGTTTGTTTGTTTTCTCATTCCCTGGACTTACCTTCTCAGAGAATATATTAAATAACTACAAGGACAAGTGCTTTCAAAGTGACCCTTTGATAAATCTGTGCATTGCTCTTCTATTTTGTGAAGCATTAAGAAGGTGGAAACTGTGTCATGAAGAAGTGAAAGGGGGGAGTCCGCATGAGTATTTTAACCCATCATTGTGGTATCTGCCTCACTCAGGATTCACCCAAACTTGTCCTTTTCCCACTTTATTCCAGTTTTTTTTTTTTTTTCTGACTGCTTTTAAAAATTTGGAAAGATGGGCAGTTGCTGTGGTTACAAATGCTACAGAATTTAATGCAAGTTGTGGTCAATACAGTTGTAACAGGAATCACTGGGGAAAAGGCAAGTTATTAGCTTCAGTACATTCTAGATGAGATGGAGAAAGAAGAGGAAGAGAGAATAAGTAGCATAGACATATGGCAATCTTAAATCTACTAATAGAAGAGAAGATATGTAGCTCACGGTTGAACTGTGGAGTCCTTGGCATTTCCTGAGCTTGGTTGTTTTCTTGCAGGCATTTTGTTACCCGACTCAGTGACACCTTCAGTGCTGGAAGGGAGTGGGGTTTGCTCTCTGTTTATATACAGTAGCTTGCCCTGACTGTGTTCCCGGGGTTGCTTTTTCTTGGTAGTTCTTAGATTAGGTTGTTGTTTACTGCTTGATTTGTCTGGTGTTAATCCTGGTGTTAATCCTTGCTTATCTGAGTGTTGACTGCTGGTGAGGAGGTGTTCTGGTCTTTTTGTTTCCTTTTTATTGTCTCTTTTCAAGTGGGAAACTATGAGCATCCTGTTGTTGTTGTTGTTGTTTAGTCATTAAGTCATGTCCGACTCTTTGTGACACCATGAATCATATCACACCAGGCCTTCCTGTCCTTCACTGCTTCCCGGAGTTTAGCAATTTCATGTTCATTGCTTCGGTGATACTATCTAGCCATCTCATCCTCTGCCATCCCCTTCTCCTTTTGCCTTCAATCTTTCCCAGCATCAGGGTCTTTTCCAAAGAATCCTCTCTTTGCACTGAGCTTCAGCTTCAGTATCAATCCTTCCAATGAACAGTCTGGGTTGATTTCCTTTAGGATTGACTGGTTTGGCCTCCTAGCAGTCCAAGGGACTCCTAAGAGTCTTCTCCAGCACCACAGTTTAAAGGCATCAATTCTTCAGCGCTCAGCCTTCCTTATGGTCCAGCTCTTGCAGCCATACATTACTACTGGAAAAACCATAGTTTGATTATGCAGATCTTAGTCAGCAAGGTGATGTCTCTGCTTTTTAATATGCTGTCCAGGTTTGCCATAGCTTTCCTCCCAAGGAGCAAGTGTCTTTTAATTTCATGGCTGCAGTTTCCATCTGTGGTGATCTTGGAGTCCAGATAAATAAAGTTTGTGACTGCTTCCATTTCTACCCCTTCTATTTGCCAGGAATGAGCATCCTAGACCAAGCTAAATCCAAAAACACTAGGGAATTCCCAGAAGCTTGGCATTCAGACAAATCAGTCATCAATAGACACATAAACTACGTTTACATACAATTCAAAAGAGACAATAAAAAAGCTAAGAAGGAAACAAAAAGATCAGACTACATCCTCTCTAGCAACCAACACCCAGATAAGCAGGGTGCCAGAAAAAAATCAAGCGGAAAACAATACCCTAATCAAGGAACTACCAGGGAGAAAACCACACCCCCACCAACATTGGCAGGGCAAGCTACTATATATAAACAGGAAGCAAACCTCACACCCACTAGCACTGATGATGTTACTTAGTCAGGTAATGAAACATCTGCAAGCAAACAGATGTTTACAAACAGAGAACCAAGGACTCCACATTCTTAAATCTGCCCTGAAGGTGGAGGAAAGGGAATAATTCTCTGGCTGAAAGCATTTTTTGTGTCTTTTTCTAGGAAAAGAGACACTTCCAGCTGTAGCCCCTATATTTTACTCTCAATCAATACAAGCAGCAAAAAGCTGATCATTGTCTCATCATTTTGTTGGGGAAGAGGGGTATTTGGAGCCTTCATAGGCTGAGAAATAAAGGTCACCTGCCTAACATCTCCTTGGACATCCAGATTTGTACGTTACCTACTGGTGTACATCTTCTGCTTACTGTTTAAACACAGTGGATAGTGTATTAAATTTATTGCATTTGCTTACAGAGCAACACTTGAATTTCCAAGAAATCCATCACTCTGGTGCCTCACATCAGGAATGGTAGATCCTGCACAACTCTTTTTTTCCTTCTGTAACTTTCCCCTGCTAACGCCACAGTTGATACAGCCTCTAAAAGTTAATTTAGTAGCCCCCCCCCCCAAAACAACCCTGCATTATTTTAAATAGCCTTGTAATCAGCTTGGATGGAAAAAAATATGCAGATATTTTTCAGTAGATAAACAAATCCAAGGGCTATGTAAAAGGAGTTTCATTAGAGTTTGCTGATTTTTCTTCTGTACACCCTGTGATAGAGGTCCAAACACTGGTTTGGTGGGATGAATGTGCCTGTGTGCCTAACTAGAGATAATGGATCAGTGTGAAGGGTCACAAACAAATAAAATGTTAAATGTTGTGAATTCTTCTGAATGCAGCTGCACTTGAACTGTTTGATGAGTAGTGCAAGGTCTGTTTTATATATTTCTTTCTGCCTATCTAGCATTTGACCTACATACATGGTCTCCTGCAGATGCTGCCTGAAGACATTGCAAGTCATTTCAGAATAAACTGTTTGCTGGAGGGACCCATTTAAATGTTCTTTAAATCATTTGCTTATAAAGATTTCCCAGATTACCTCAGTATCATCTTTACTTAACAGATTAATTACTCTGTAGTTAGCTATTAAACTAGCAATTAAATATTTGTCTTCATGATATACTCCTTGGCAAGTGAATTAATTAGCACTGAATGTTGAGAAATGGCTGTTAAACAGCAGGCATTATGCTACAAAAGAATAGAGTAATTACATTTCATTATGACTATTATTAATAATTTTATTAACTACATAAATGTCAGGTATTTCCTCAACTCCTACTCCAAGCTGTATCATACTATTTGAGAATCAGATACAAAAGTAAGATGCATTTATCAGTGCAATTGCTAATTTATCGTGTCTGGAGTTAATGAAAGAGCAAGATTATGGAACACTTTAGTTCCAGATTGAAATTGTAACAATTCTCATATCATCATCATCGTCATTGTCATCATCGTCATCATCCTACCACCCACACCACCACCAGGCCAAGTAGTAGAATATGCTATGAAAAAAGCTTGACTAATTTTTAAAAGACACTATCTGTTAGTAATGGATATCTTAATTAATTATTATAAAGATTTTCTTTATCTATAATAGAAGTTCAAGCACTGTTAACTAATGATTTTCTATATAGATAGAACAGCTCCAGGATTTCCATTCTATGTGTAGCCAAGCAATGAAAATGATTACAAAAGCTTTCCATTTATTGGATTCTGAATTTCAAAAACTTAACATGTAAGTATTTTTGTTTCTTCAGTTTACTCAACAGAGTAGAATCATTTCCTCAAATATCAGAACATTGTGTTTATCCCTGTAAAAATTCATAAGCATAGTTCTTACTATTTCAAAATATATTACAATCTGGCTGCAAATAAAAGATTATGAAGTTATTTTCTATTTTAATTAGATGAAAAAATAAGTAAAAATAACATTCCTGATCAATTCCCTTCTTAATTATCTATAGGCTGTATCTCTGGTGTTCTTGCTGGAGAAGATTTTTTTTTCCCCAAACAAAATGCATTAAAATATGAGAAAAGTATGTGTTTGTATGTGTGTCTTCAATCAACCTAAAACCATAGCAATATAGTTTCATGGTGCTTCTTTCAATTATTTATGTGTGTGAATGTATGCATTTAGCTATTTCTATATATCTGTCCTGTATATATATTAGCTTAGGTTTGCTTGTTTTGTTTTACTTTAAAAGAAGATCAAATGTTATTTTCTTGGATGTATCATTTCAGGGTAAAAACTGAACTGGCTCAGGCAACAAAGGCTTTTCAGCATGAAAAAGATCAGTATGATAAAAACTTGGAAAACCAGCAGAAGGTAAGGTTTTGGTTGTTTCCGGTAATATTTGTGTTGCAAGCTGGGGCTTCCTTCATTGCCAGTTGTGTCAAGACCTTAAGCAAGCTAACACCTTCTGGGAGCCCCATAATAAAATTAGACTTAATAACCAATCAATGCAATTTATTAAATAATTTCTGAAGTTAATAGCATTCAAGGCAAACAATCCCTTGACATTTCATAGTTACAATTAGCAGTAATACAGAACTCTTAAGCAAGTTAGGGTTAGGGTTAGGGTTAAGCAACTAATAATCCAGGGGGAATTTGATCCATTCCATTCAGTAAGATATACAGTAAGCTCAAAGAAAGGTATGGAGCACTTTTATGGAGTCTGCAGAGTGTTCAGCTATTAACAGGTAAAGAAAAGGAACAAAGATGCAAAAGCTTCTTGCCACAGCAAAGAGCGGGAAAAAAGTTTTAAGGCTTCTTGTTACAGCAAAGAAGGCAGGAAGTTTGCAAGATGCATACTCTATGAGTGAGCACCTTTTGTATAGACACCACTTCACCTGGGAATGGAGAATAAAGTAGAAAGAATGTTATATTCCTGTGGGAGAAAGGGAAGAATGAGGATTTCTCAACCAAAGATGAAAAGAGGCAGGGAAAAGGGGAAAGAGTCATCTGTCCTTTGCAGAGCTGGGCTGCTTACGTTGTCCTAGGTATATGGAAGCTGGTGTAGTAAGAAGAGGGTTATTGGTTGCCATGTTCTCCCCTGGATGAAAAGGAAAGAGAAAGGGAAAGAGAAGTTTGAGTCCATCCATACAGCCCCCTTGTCCCAGCACAAAGATGCTCCATTTACCATTTGCCATGGATACATCTTCCCACTGCCTTTATCTCATCATCGGTCACTGAATTCCTAATTCTTTAAGTTCAAGCACCTCTTGAAGGAAGCAAGAGAAAGAAGATTTTAAAGGCAGATAAAGAGCAAATCCAAAAGACCTCAGATAGAAAATATTGAAAGACAGAGAAAAGCTGAATTTAGAAATATTTTAGTATGAAATTAAAACTACAAAAACAGGTATTACTAAAGAAAAACATACACTTTAAAAGGTCATCTTATAGATAATGCAACTAATAGAATTCAGTGTCTGGACTGGTGAATGCCTATTGCCAGGCAATATTGATCCTTAAGGGTCAAAGAATTTACTAGACATATCAAATGCAAATACACTTTTTCTATATCTGCCATTGTCTTGCTACAATCCAATATTCAGTCATGCAGATGGGGAGACGGGAGGTTTTAGCAATCTTAAGTCACTGCTGCTTGGATAGGTCATCTTTGGGTCTTTTTTAAGAACTTGGGCCTCCTGCCTTGACCAGAGTAAAACATTGAGACAAATTAACGGTGCCATTTAGGGAGGGGGAAGTAACCAGACAGCACTTGCTTAGCACCACTTACAGCTGTATTTTCTTAGGTAGCTTTCACTTGTTATAATTGCTAATAAAGCTTGGGAGCTGATGTGAATTAGATGGTATATTTATGTAGTTGGTAGATGGTGGTAAACATTCTTTACTTTCTTATAAAGATTTTTTTTTTCCTTTAAATCAGGAGCTACAAGCAATGCTAGAAAAACACAAAATCCAAAACGAAGCATGGCTCAAAGCCAGAGCAGAGGAGAATGACAAGGAGAGGAAGGAGCTCTTCAAAATGAGAGTAAATATTTACAAAATTCAAGAGAAGGGTAGAGACTGGCAGGTTTCCCAACATTTCCTTATCCCCTTCCCCCTAAGTTGCCTTTGATGTTCCACATAAAATAACTCCCTAGGAACAATATTTCAGCTCTGTAGGATAGATATAGTAGTATCAACATTTGAAAATGAAAACTAGTTTGATAAAGCTATTGCATTTGCTGGAGCTTGGGAAAGTTAAGATAATTTGTGTTTCCAGAACTCATAATTTCTTTCTGTTCAGTGACTATTGAATGAGACACTTAGTACTTTCTAGATTAAATAATTTTGGCCTAATTCCAATGGTATCGCTGAAGGACCTCTTAAGAAAACACTCAGAAAGTCTCTGTTCCTCCAGAAGTTCTAGTGGGCACTCCTACATTAAAAAGAGTTTTGTTTCAGTATGAGCCACAAATTCTGGTGAGAGCTGGGGAGAGAGAGATATATTAATAGTATTTTCTGAGTAATGTATTCATGAGTAATATTGTTTTTATCATTTTTATGGTTTCAGTATTGTAAAGTAGCCTTGCAATCTAGCCAGACTAATCCAGTTATTGGACAGCTAAAAAATATAATAGATAAATATTCTAAATGCAATTTGGACCTGTGGGAATATTACATTACATATTTGTTCCATTCTTGTACTGAGTTGAGCTTGGGGAATCTATTTTGGATACAAAGTGTAGCACTTGGCAGAGTGGAGCAAAATATTCCAGCCTTTTTTAATTATATAGCTTTAAAGAAGTTTTCCCCAGTTTGGTCCCAGAGGTGGGGCATGAGGCGGGCAGGGAGAAAAGATCTTAAAACTACATCATGCCCTATGGAAAGCTATCAGGTAAAGCTATGAAGGCACACCTCAGTGTTAGTTTATAAATGAAAAGATTTTAAAAGTTAATATACATCCAGTAGTTCCACACGTCTAGTATGACCCTAAATCTGTTTTTCACTTTTTGCTGCTCCAGTACCTAAATAGGTTATCAGTTATTCATCAGAACAACATAAATGCATTACAGTTATTACATTTTAAAGTAAAGATGAGCTACCCATAGCCTTAAGCCTTAATGTAACTTAATATAACTCTCAAACCTCATTTTTGCCCTCCACAGAGCCCCTTCTAGCTGCACCACCATATTTCAATACCATGTAAATCAGCAACAGTTTTCTGAAGTCTAAGCTCTAAAATAGCCTTAATACTTTTCTTTTTAAAAGAAAAAAGAAAAAACTTTTAAAAAATGGAACCCTAGGGCCACCCATGTAGGTGTGTTATGGCCTTGCATACCTTGTGTCATCAACCCACCCACTGTGGTCCTGCTTCCCTTCTTCCCAAAAGCGCATGACCTTTTTAATTCCGTCTACCTTTCCCAGAGTTGTGATACTTTGTTTTGGTGAGGACTTCATGCTCAAGTATTAAAAACAGCAGATATTATGTTGCACTTTTTTATCATGTAGCTACTGAGCAGCAATTGCATCTCAGAAAAATACAGCTTCCATGGTGCTGACGCACAAAAGGACTCAAATCATCAGAATAGACCTTGTGAGTGTCACCCCTCCTGCTTTTCCTCTCCCCATTCCAGTAGTTTTATTGTCCTCATAGTTCCATCACACAAGGGCATCATTAATCTCTACACTAATCATCTTCCTGGTGTTTGGGTGCATTCTTGTCTTAGTGAAGTTCCAGTCTGGGACACTGTAACTGAGGTCAGTAGCAATAATTTTTCATAAAGATTTTAATCTCATTTGGTTAAAGAACATTCACTTGTTGTGTAAGTGATGATATTGTCAGAAACACTTGTTGTATAACTGATATTCTTTTTTTCAAGATAACTACTGCCAAGTTTAAACATCAACCAACCTAAGTCAGCTTTGAAAGAGGGACGGACAACGGGATTCAATTTAGTGCACGGTTCTTGTTTTTTGTTTTTTTGACTCCACATTAGGAAGTGATCCAAAGAAAAATGTAGTGATGATTCTCATATCACTAGATCTAATTCACAGCATTAAATTGTTTTCAGGGTATAATTTACTGTAGTCTCCAGTTTTTAATATGTATATGTGTGTGTTATGTGCACGTGCATTGTTTTTTCTCTGAAATGTTTCAAGTAAACAACTGATTTTCATTGGAGCAATAAACAGCATTTATTTCTACACAGATCCATTTTTATCACCAATTTTTAGTTCTAAAAATTCCCATGGTGAGCATTCATTTCTGGAAAAATCATATGAAAAGCAAACAAAACCTCTTGCGCCATCCACTGCCTCAACTAATTACATGAAACAGTAGATAAGGCAAGGTATTTTGTTTGGCTAATGCTGTATATGTGCAAATTACACCAGGCAGTTTATATGTGCGGTGCATATTAAACTAATTCCATAGTTTAACATTACAGAGAAATCTATCACAGTCCGTAAATTGGTTTTCTCTTTGTTATTACAAATCCTTATCGACCAAAATGCTGAAGACAACCCAGTGCTGGCTGACTTACAATAAACAAAGTGGGATTTCTTCTGAACAGGCCTGTATAAAGTCAGGGTACAGATTACGCTATAGCACAGTAGCATAATCTGGCCAAATTAAGTTTCTTTGGAATGCAGCCAGGAAACACTTCTTGCCAAGATGAGTAATAACCTAACTTGCAACAGAATCCTAACCATGAGTAGGCAACTTGGTTTCCTCTAGAACTTTTGAACTTCGGTTCCCATCATCTCCAGCAAGATGGGCCAGTGACAAGGGATTGTGAAAATTGTAGTCTAAATCTTCTAGAGCACCTCTATCCGGAGTCTTATATTCCTTAATCTTACCTAGGCCTGCAATCCTCAGGACACATACTTGCAGGGCAGGTGAAACACTGTACCCAGTGGGACCTACCTTCACATATTTTCACACAGAATCAGGCTGGTAAGGTAAAATTGTTTCCTTCCTGGTCTTTTGCAGAGAGCAAATTATCTCTGTGTAGAATCTTCTGATGGAATAATAACATCCAGAAGTCATGCATTCGAGCCCCTCTATAGAAAGCAGTTGTCTAGGTAGAATCTCCCCTCCTGCACTGTAGCGAATGGGCAGACAAGCCCTCTGCCACATTCACAGTTATTATGAGCTTCATGATGCTTTTTCTTGCCCCAGAAGAAGCAACTGTCAGAAGGATTAAAACACCTTCTTTTCCTTTCCTTTCTTTTTCTGTGCCAAGCTGTCCCAATAAAATATATCAGACAATCAATGGAGAGTCAAAATATGTATATTCACCCAAAGTTATTGAGCTGCTTTGGGTGGGTGGCCGCGCAGCACTTCTCTTTGTTTCCCTTTTTATAGGATTCTGAAGTTTAGAAATTTAGCCAATCATTATCAATGGAATGGAATGCATTAGCTTATTACAAACAAAGGTTTCCTTATCTTAGAGTGAAAGCAGATGTCTCCTCATTTATAACTAAACAAATGTCTCTTTATCTAGAGCTAAAACAGCTATGTTTTTCTATGCATAAGATATATTTTCCTTTACATGGGTATGCTACATTATGCCTTTATTGTTTCTAATGGAGAAGCCAGCTTTTATACAAGGGCATTACTACTGCCTATTTACTACAACCTATACAGTCTTTATTCCAACACAACCTTCTGAGATTCTCCCTTTAAACTCAGTGCTTGCATCAGAGTACTGAATTTAATGGGACAGTAAAAGACAAAAGGGTGGGAGGGTTCCATACAATACTTCCTGTCCTGTTT